AATAATTCACAAACACTCATAGAAAAGGCTCAGGAGGTCGAGGCAAGAAGATCACTTGAAGCCAGGAGCTTGAGACCAGCCTAAGCAAGAGTGAGACCCTGGGGTCCCTCCAAAAAAAATGAAACAGAAAAATTAGCTGGATGTGGTGGTGCCCACCTGTAGTTCCAGCTACTTGGGAGGCTGAGGCAGGAGGATCACTTGAGCCCAAGGGTTTGAGGTTGCTGTGAGCTATGACAATACCATGATATTGAGGATGGGGGGACAGAACGAGACCTTATCTTGAAAAATAAAAAGGGCTCATGCCTATAATCCTAGTACTCTGGAAGGGTAAGGCAAGAGAATCCCTTGAGCTCAGGAGTTCAAGAACAGCCTGAGCAAGATTGAGACCCCCTCTACTGAAAATAGCAGAAAATCCGGGCATTGTGGCAGGCGTGTGTAGTCTTAGTCACTAGGGAGGCCGAGGTAACAGGATAGCTTGAGCCCAAGGGTTTGAGGATGCTGTGAGCCATGACACTACAGCACTCGAGACTAGGCAACAAAGTGAGACTCTGGTCTCAAAAAAGAGAGAGAAAGAGAGGGCCCAGGAGGATTATAGAGTTCTCCTGAGTAACAGAATTAAATGCTTTCCTCTCTGTACCCTGGATTTTCCAAACTGTCTATACTGGGTACTAACAACCTTAATCCATGGAGGGGCTGCCTACCTCCACAGGCTGCTGGGGGGCCAAGAGGACTTCCTGCTGTGCCAGTGGACGCAGAGGTCCCTGAAGGTCCCTATTGGGCACTCCCACGAAGAAGTTCTCAGCATCCCACACTGGGCCTGGGGTGGCAAGTGTACCTTGATGTGCCATCCCAGCTAAGGACAGCTGGGTACCCAGGTGAAGCAGGCCTGGGAAGGAGGCACCTGGCACCCCACCCCAGCACCCTCCATCTTAGTTCTCATGGGACAGCCTCAGTCCAGACACAACAGTAGGTACTCAGCAAATGTCTCATTCACAGCAAACTCTAAGGAATGAGCCTAGGAAGGGGGCACTCCTGGCTCCCCACCCACCACATAGGCACGCACCTCCTGGCCGCAACTCGCAGACATAGCTATGCGGAGCTGAGCACAAGTCCGTGTTGCACCGCCCAGCAGGCCCAAGCCGCACACAGTGCTCAGCTGAGGCAGGGTGTGGCTCCCCAGGCAACCAGTTCTGGCAGCTCTCCAGGCTAAAGGCCTCACCCTGGGGTGCCAAGCCCACCTCTGCTCCGTGCATGGCCGAGAAGCCGATCCACACATCCAGGCTCCTGTGGACAGATGGCAGGGCATTCAGGGGGCTCCTTGGTTGTCCCACCCTGAGGGGACACCGTCCCCCCAGCAGCCTACCAGAAGGGCCCTATCACATCCCTGTTTTCCAGACGGAGACTGAGGTTCAGAGACTGGATAAGCAAGGCCCACACAGCATCCATACAGACACCCACACCCAGGGGCCAGTGCGCAGAGCCAGGGGCACCTTGTGGAGCTTCATATCAGATGAGACCAAGGGCCATCCATCCCCTTGCCCTGCAGGAAGGCTCCAGGTGTACCATTTGAGGAGCAAGACAGCCTCATAGCACCCTCCAAAAGGGCAGCTCTGACAGCTCTGCAGAGGTAGGCAGCCCTCCTGTGGGTAAGGCTGTCTACACACACACCAGCAACGGCACGGCCAGGCGTATATAAGGCAGGCACACACCAGGAGAAGGGCTATGTTTGGGACCATTAACCAAGTTGTCCTGCACAGTGTGGGTAAACCATGGTGAACCTGCCTGCCCCACGAGGGGGAGTGAGCAGGGGTGGGGGAAAAACAGAAAGTCAGAGCCCACCCTTAAGAAAAGCTCAGGGTCTTCCCTAGAGGGACATGGACAAGGACAATACAGTGTCCAGGTCCACCTCCCACGCATGGTATGTCTCAGAAATGTTTATAAAGCCTGCCCTACCCCGTGTCCACTTCTGAGTGTACAGAGCTGACAGGAAGGGCCACCAGCACACAGCTCATCAGTCATCCAGACAGCTAGACATGACCTCTCTGGCTACCCTCACCTCTCTTCCTGAGTCTCCTCTGGCCTCAGGCTCTGCCCCAAACCGAGTGTTCCAGAGACACCCCCCCCGCCACCTCAAAGCCTCTCAGAGGATGGGGATAGGCACCTGGTAACCTGGGAGACCAAGAAGTGCTGGACAGCAGGACTGTCCACCATGGCCAGGGCAGCCCCAGCCCAGATCCGGCACTGCTCCTGCGCTTGCAGCCAGGCCTCCTTTTCCACTACCAGGCGGTAGCAGTGCCCATTGCCAGGGAAGATCTCTGTGTCTGAAGGGCAGAGAGGGTGCACCACTAGGGGGCAGCAGGCAGAAAGAACAGCAGGTCAGCATGTGCCCAAGGCTGGGGTGCCAAGCCCTTCCCTACCCACTCCAGCCCTGGGGAGGAAGGGGAGGCAGCAAGACATGACCAGGGCCCAGTGTGCACCTTGGGCTGGCTCTTCGCCCAGGGCCATGATGCTATAGGTGGCCTGGAGGCCAGAGCCACCACGATTCTGGATTCCAAGTTCAAGGCTCTCACCACTTCTCACCGAGGATGGGCACACAAGCTCTACAGCAGCAGGGGCCGCCTCCACCTGTACCTCTGTCTCCAGCGGAACTGAGATAGCCCCCAGAGCCAGCATGGCTGTCACATGATAGCGCCCAGGTAGCACAAAGCGGTGCATGGCAGCTGGACCAGCAACACCCACCTTGGGGGAGCCATCACCAAAGTCCCAGCGTGCAGAGCTGATGGGGAGTGGGGCAGCAATGTGGAAAGTTGCTGGCTGGCCAGAGGCCAGGGGTCCACGGGGCCCCACCAGGGTGGCCCCCGGGGAGGCAGGGAAGACGTGCTGGAGGAGGGTGGGGCCCACACAGGCAGGGGCAAAGGGCAGCAGGGGGCCAGAGCAGAGGGACAGGCAAGCCAAGGAGGTGTTAGGGGACTGTGCTGGCCCACACAGGCACCAGCCTTGCTCTGAGAGGGCTGCCAGATCATGGCCGGCTGAGAAGCAGAAGGCGCTACAGGCCTCAGGCTCTAGTAGGCCCTCATGGGCAGCTGAAAAAGCTGCCATCACCACGGCGCCTGAGCTGTTGTCAGGGAGGCAGGCGACATACTCCTCACCTGGAAGAGGCAGAAAGGGTGGTCCGCCTGGGGCTCCCACTTCCTCCTGGCCTTGCTCCACTCCTCCTACCCCAAGGTCCCAGACCAGAACCCCAGCAGCTGCACAGTACTCACTACCTTAGCAGGGTCCCATCCCAGGTGTGTCTGCTCCCTGGGCCCTGTCTGCTGCCCTTATTGGGCTAAGAGTCCTGAGCAGGTTCTTCCTGGCCCAGGTCCTATCGCATCCACCCACACTTACCACAGATGCCATCCTTTGAGGGGATGCCCAGGAGGGGCTGGCCAGCCAGGGAGCCAGGCCCAGCACATATGGCTGCCTCAGGCTGCACCACATGAATCTGCTGCTCCTCCACCCAGCGCACCAGCCAGGCCAGACCACAATCACACTCAAACGGGTTCCCGCCTAGGTTTCTGCAAGGAAAGGGTGGGTATGGGGCTCCAGGCCTGGCCTAAGGAAGAGTCTGTACCGGCCTCCCCTAGGAGAGACCAGGTCTGGGGGTCTCCCTGAGAGTCCAGCCTCCCACTGTAGTTGCAGAGACAGCCTATCCTGGAGGGGCTCTAAGCAGGAAAGCCAATTGCTCCCAGGTCTGGTCTCAAATCTGGGTGTGAGTATGGGGCCAGGTATAAGGGCAAAGGGGATGTTGGGGGATCAGGGGTACAGCCATTGACACCCACCAAAACAGTACAACTTACATTTCACTTAAATTAAATAAATTAGTAAATATTCCTTCCTCTAATGTAGAAATCTCGTTGTTGCTTATGTCCCTGGAAGAAAGAGGGCCATCAGGCAAGGTCTGATGGAAATCCCCATAGTCCTACAGTGACAGGAGCCACCACCTTTCTTCCCAGAGTAATCCTTGGGAGCAGCACAGCCAGGGGAGGGACACTCACAGTTCCACCAGCGCTGAGAGGTTGGCCAAAAGCCCGATGTCCAGCACCCGGAGCAGGTTGTGGGAGATGTCTCTGAGAAGTAAGCAGCCACAAGTAAGGGCTAGAGCCCCAGCAGGGCATGAGGCCGTCCTTGGGCCACCCTCAGGAACTTCCTATCACCCCAAGCTGTGGCCTCTCACCCTCCAAGTTCCCCCCTTTCACAAACCAGAGGGGGACCTTTCTGAAGGAGGATCTGAATAAATACTCATCTGAGGAAACCAGGGCAAGAGGGACCCAGGGGTCTGCAGCCCTTCATACCATATCCCAAGCTCTGGGCTGAGTACTACATGGCAAAACCACAAAGACCTGCTGACCATGGGAACCTGGACAAGCCCAGCCTCCTAGCCCTGCTCCCCAGTGCCAAGGCCCTCCATGTCCTGCCTCAAGCTCAATAGGGTTCCACATCATCAAGAGCTGACCTCACCCACCCTCCACTTGGTTTCAGAATATATTGGCCTCCCACCTTGGAATGTCCCCAAAGGCAGTAGGAACACAAAGAAATAATAGAGAAGAGGCCCTAGATGACCCCAAATCCTAGTGATGGAGATAACCATTAAACCCCAAGTTTAGCCAGGTGTGGTAGTTCACGCCTATAATCCTAGCACTCTCAAAGGCCGAGGTAGGAAGACTGCTTGAGCTCAGGAGCTCAAGACCAACCTGAACAAGGGTGAGGCCCCATCTCTACTAAAAACAAACAAACAACAAAAAAAAAAAAAGTAAAAAATTATATTTTAAAAAAATACAGAAATATTAGCAGGGTGTGGTGGCAGGTACTTATAGTCCTACCTACTTAGGAAGCTGAGGAAGAAGGATTGCTTGAGCCTATGAGTTCGAGGTTGCTCTGAGCAAGGCTGATGCCACATACTCTAGTCTAAGTGACAGGCTGAGACTCTGTCTCAAAAACAAACTAAAACACATACACACACACAAAAAAAAGCCTTAAAGCAAATGTAGGCAATTAACAAAAGAAGTCACAGAATGGGCGGTGCCTATGGCTCAAAGGAGTAGGGTGCCGGCTCCATATGCCGGAGGTGGCAGGTTCAAACCCAGCCCCGGCCAAAAAAAACTACAAAAAAAAAAAGTCTCAGACATGGAAGAAACATTCAATTTTAGTTCTAACTGGAAAAAGACCAATGGAAACAGCAAAAACAGCAATGCAGTGGCACACCAGTGTCAGGAATAGAGGCCTGGAACTAGGATGTGGAGGTGGGACAGGTAGCCAGAGCGGACTTGGTTCTGCTGAACCTGGCCAGAGCACCAGCCTTTCTAGCATAGCCTCTTGAGCCAACAATCCCTCTTAGGAACCCTTCCCACACCTGTGAGCCAACCTGACTCTCTGGGAACCTCAGTCCCCACCTGGCTCTTGTGGGTCTGGGCATAGCCCTGTACTCCCTGGAACCCTGCCCTTCCTATCAAGACAACCCAGCCAGTCAAGCCAGAGGCCAGGGACCCAAAGGCTGACAGCTGCCATCACCATTCCTAGCCTCCCCCCATGGCCACCCACCCTCCTGCCACACCCCTGCCCACCTCCTGCAGCAGCCTGCCCACACATAATGAGGGGGTCCAGGGAAGACAGAGGGGGTTTCAGAGAGGAAGGGACAAGGGGGCCAGGAGCCACCCCAGCTGAGATCAGCATGGCCAAGAGGCAGCCTCAGACCCTGACAAGCCCTACTTAAGAAGCTGGACACTAAGCACACAGCTCAGTGAGCCTCTCAGCTCCATCTGGAGATGAGGGTGTGCCTGGGGGCAGGAGGTACAGATCTCTTGTCCCCTAGAGCTGTGGAATAGCTAGAGAGCCTATGCCCAGAACATGGGGCTCCAGAAAATCCATAAAGGGGAGAGGCTCTTGGAAGGTGGGGATCATAGGGAAAGGCCCCTTTGCAGAGTTGCCTCTGGGACCACATCTGAGCACAGCTTTTCCCTTGTCCCCACTCACACACCAAGAAAGGGTGGAGGCCTCATTGTACATGAGGACGCATGGGCCACAGCCAGACTTATGGGGTGTCTACCATGTCCCTGTGCAGGGCAGAACAGGCTGGCCACTGGGAGACCAAGGAGAAGCCACTGCCCCAGATGGGGTAAGGCAGCTAGACTCCTACCTATCAGTCAAGCACAGTACCCAAGAGAGGTAATGGCTATATCACAAGACACTCCAGGTGGTGGCTACAGTGAGGACAACAGCAGAATCTGCACTTTGAGGAGTGACAGCCAAGGGGAAGGGTGAATCAGAGACCAAGGATGAGCATGAGCAGGGCACAGATGGAGGACAAGGATGTTGGGGACACAGCTACGTTTCCACGCCTACCTCTAGCCAGGTGCAAACACAGGAGGAAGGAGAGGAAAAACCTTAAGATATTTGTTCATAGGCCAGGTGAGGTGGCTCATGCCTGTAATCCCAGCATTCTGAGAGGCCGAGGTGGGCAGATGGCCTGAGATCACAAGTTCAAGACCAGCCTGAGCAAGACCCCCCCCCCATCTCTAAAAATAAAAAGTAGCCAGGCATTGTGGTGGGCACCTGTAGTCCCAGCTACTTCACAGGCTGAGGCAAGAGAATCACTTGAGCCCAAGAGTTCAAGATTGGGGTGAGCTATGACACCAGGGCACTCTACTAGGGGTGATAAAGTGAGACTCTATCTCAAGAGACAAGAGTCTCACTTTGTCTCCCTTAGAGTCCTGTGGTATCACACTTCACAGCAACCTCCAGCTCTCCAGCTCTTGTTGCAGTTTGGCCAAGGCCAGTTTTGAACCTGGCACCCTTGGTATATGGGGCCAGTGCCCTACTCACTGAGCCACAGGCACCACCCAAAGAAAACCATATTTGTTTATACCCCACCTTCTGTTGGGGCTTTTTTTTTTTTTTTTTTGAAACAGAGCCTCACTTTTTTTTTCTTTTTTGAGATAGTCTCAAGCTGTCACCCTGGGTAGAGTTCTGTGGCATCATAGTAGCTCACAGCAACCTCAAACTCAGGCTCAAGCAATCCTCTTACCTCAGTTTTTCTATTTTTGGTAGAGACAGGGTCTCGCTTTTGCTCAAGCTGGTCTCCAACTCATGAGCTCAAGCAATCTACCCGTCTCAGCCTCCCAGAGTGCTAGGATTACAGGTGTAAGCCACTATGCCCAGCCCAGAATCTCCCTTTTTTTTTTTTGTTTTTTTTGCAGTTTTTGGCCAGGGCTGGGTTTGAACCCGTCACCTCCAGCATATGGGGCTGGTGCCCTACTCCTCTGAGCTACAGGCACCTCCCTTTTTTTTTTCTTTAGAGACAGAGTCTCACTTTATCGCTCTTGGTAGAGTGCCGTGGCATCACACAGCTCACAGCAACCTCCAACTCCTGGGCTCAGGAGATTCTCTTGCCTCAGCCTCTCAAGTAGCTGGGACTACAGGCGTCCACTACAACACCCGGCTATCTTTTTGTTGTTGTTGCAGTTTGGCCGGGGCCGGGTTTGAATCTGCCACCCTCAGTATATGGGGCCGGCACCTTACTTATTGAGCCACAGGCGCCACCCCGGAGTCTCCCATTTTGTCTCTTCTGCAGAGTGCCGTGGCATGACAGCTCACAGAAACCTCAAACTCTTGGGCTCAAATGATCCTCTTGCCTCAGCCTCCCAAGTGGCTAGGACTTCAGGGCCTGCCACAATGCCCAGCTATTTTTTTTTTTAATTTTTTTTCCCAGCTTTTTTTTTTTTTTTGCAGTTTTTGGCCAGGGTTGGGTTTGAACCCACCACCTCCGGCATATGGGGCTGGCACCCTACTCCTTTGAGCCACAGGTGCCGCCCACTCTATTTTTTTTAGAGATGGGGGTCTCACTCTTGCTCAGGCCAGTCTCGAACTCAGTGAGCTCAAGCAATCGATCCACCTCAGCCTCCCAGAGTACTAGGGTTACAGGCTGAGCCATTGTACCCAGCCTATACCCCACTTTCTGGAACGTCCACAGGACCCTGAGAAGCCAGAGCAAGGCGTAGGGGACAGGCAGACCTCAAGGTCCTCCAAGCCCTCCCTTCCCCACTAGCAGCACTGAGGTATCTTCTGAACCATCCAGCAGCCCCACCCTGTCATAGGTGCTGGCCACATGCTCCCTGAACAACAGGCATGGCCCATAGGCAGGAAAAGCAGCAGATGGCAGTGCAGACCCCATGCAGCCCAGCTCCAACAGCTTAAGCAGGTCACCCAGCTAGGACCTAGAAGAGAGCCATGTGCTG